AAAGGAGAATTTATGAATTGGTGTAGTGGTGTACCCCTATAATCCCAGCTACTGGGGAGGCTGAGACAGGAGTACAAGTTCCAGGACAGCCTAAACAACTTAGTGAGATCCTCTCTCAAAATTTAAAACACCAAACACCAAAAAGACTGAAAATAGTGGCCGAGGGTGTAGCTCAGTGGTAAAGCTGCCTGTTTAGTGTGGGAGAGGCCCAAAGATCAATCTCTCATTAAAAAAAAAAAAAAAAAAAAAAAAGAGAGATTGAAAATGACTTTAGGAATATCCTATTTCAACAACTTATTTTACAAACATTCCAAGGACAGAAGACTTGCCAAGGTCATATCCTTGCTTGGTGCCCTCTAGAAAGGAAATACGATGCTGTGAATGGTATGATTCCTGGGAAACACTGGACTCTTGCTGAAATTAATCACAGGACTGGCCATGAAGCTCAGGGTGGAGCACTTACCTACAATGTGAAGACCTTGGGTTCAACCCCAACACCACACACACACACACACACACACACACTTATTATAAGATATGGTGGCCAAGCCTGTAATCCCAGTGCCTCAGGAGGCTAAGACAGGAGGATGGTGAGTTCAAAGCCAGCCTCAGCAAAAAGCTTGGCGCTATGCAACTCAGTGAGACCCTGTTTCTAAATAAAATACAAAAATAGGGCTGGGGATGTGGCTCAGTGGTCAAGTGCTCCTGAGTTCAATCCCTGGTACCAAACAAAGAACACCTCACTGGTCGGGCATGAAGTGGTGGTGTATGTCTAATCCCCAAGGCTCAGAAGGCTGAAGCCGGTCTCAAAATTTTAAAAAAGAGCTGGAAATGTGGCTCAGTGGTTAAGCATCCTGGGTTCAATCCCTGGTACCTAAATAAATAAAGACTCACTGGTAAACATTCAGTTTTGAAATCATCACACTCCCTCTTTTGCTTACTCTTCCCACTGGACATAGTAAGAACACAAAAAAGAGTCACCTGGGCAGATCAGGAGTTAATCAGAAGAATGCAGTTATTAAGAAACATTCATTATAATAGCTGTTTTGCTCATAACCTGTTATGAGCCCAAAGTTTCCCAGCTTTAAAAAAGACTGAACCTGCTAAGCAGACTTCAGAAAACGAACAAGAATCCCTTTTGTAAATAACCACGCAGCATAGGTGTTTTGTTTTTTAATTTACTCTTTTTTGAAAGCCTAAGTGCTAGTTATAGGTAAGGACAGGATCCCTTAACTTTTCCTGAGATGATTTTTCCCACTAATGAAGACAGCTGTTGGCAGGGGGAGGGGAAAGGGAAGGTTAGTAACCCAGTAGTAAGTCTAAGGCACAAGAGGCTTTCTCAATAAGCTGAGGCTCCCAAGCTACCGGATCAGGACTCAGGATCTATGACTGAGCTGCCCTATGTAGGTCATGCAGTTGACATGATTACTTTGGATGGCTTTTTGACATGGCTCCATGGAAATTTACAATTATGACCCTTCTACGTAGTGATAAATAGTACAATAAGTGAGATTAAATGAATCCCAAAGGACTGGCAAATGGTCATGACTTATAATTCCTGGCAAAACCTGAGTTTTCTGTATAAAACATAAAAATTTGATACATTTTGACTTTCTTTCAACTTTCTGATTTTAGAACCAGTAGTTTTCTCATCTTAAGATGTTCTCTACTCACTCCAGCACAAAGCACTCCTATATTCAGTTTAATGGAGATAGAGTATCAACAGCTTCAAGAAGGTCACAAGGCAGGGGCATAGCTCAGTGGCAGAATGCTTGCACAGTGTGCCCAAGGCCTTGCTTTCCAACCCCAGCACAACCCCCACCAAAGGTCACAATTTCCAGCCACAGGAAAACAAGATTTTAAAGATCCACTGGTTTCTCTCAAACTAATTGTTTTAAATGCTCAGCTTTTATCTCAATTTTCCCTACTCAACTCAATGGTTAAGTGCTTTACTTTATAACTGGCTCTATAAAACACAAAGTCACTCCTATATAATAGTGATGAATATCTAAGGAAAAAAAACACATAACACTGTGCTCTAAATCTGTCATCAATCATAGGCAAGGAAGAAGACCAAAGTAAACACTGGCCCAAAAGTAACTGATAGGAATATTCAAAACAACCGAACTGTGATTAAATATTAAAACATAATCAGATTAAGGAGGCCTTAAATTTCTCTTCTGTAAAAAACAAGCAGGTCCTGCCAAATTATCTTCACAACTGTACTGTTCAGTTAAAAAAAAAAAAAAGGTGCATGCCACCACATGGATGGACCTTGAAAGCACAGTGCTAACCCAGGCACAAAAGGCCACAAGCTGTTTGCTTCTGTCTGTATCAAATGTCTGAAACAGGCAGGTCCATAGACAGAATTGTAGATTCCTGGTTGCCAGGGCTGGGAGTAACTAATCACAAGTTTCTCTTTGAAGTGATGAAAATGTTTTGGAATAAGACAGTAGTGACTTGCACAGTCTGGTGATACAGAAGAAACTACAACTGTGAGAATTTTATCATTTTTTTAAAAGGCATTTAAAAAAAGCAGACCTCAAGGAAGTTGGCATACAAGCAGAGACCTACAAAATCCAAATATTTGGTTTCCACAAACATGCTGACTCCCGCTAAAATGTTTTTTTTTTAAACCAAAAAGTGCTAAAAAACAAATAACTAGTACCCAGAGAACACCCCACATGTACATTATTTTTGTAAGGGTTTCAGATAACTAAGCTTGGCATAAAACTGTAAAACTGGTTGCACAGCTCACTCCAATCTACCTGATTAGTTGAGTAAACTGCACTATAGTTAGAATACAATTCTAATGCTAGGATAGAATTTGCATATAGGAAAACTGTTAACAGGTCAACACACACAATCTTAGCTTAACTATCTACTTTGATCTAATTTCTTCACTTACCATTGTATCGTCCTATTTCAGTTCTGAAGGTGAAATTATTTTCAGAATTTGAACTTGGGATATGCAGAGTTGAACATAAACTAGTTAGCCTCTCTTTGGTACTAATTCCAAATCACAAGGACAAGGAAGGAGGACAGTTTACCACAAAGCATGTCTGAGAAAACAGGCCATCATCCTACATTGCTACCATTATATGCATAACTAACATTAGGCAGAGTACTCCGTAATACACTAGACAACTAATGCTTTCAAGAAATACACATTAAAATAACCCCAAATTGTGAATCCTTGTAAGCAGCCACTTCCACAGGGAAAGTGATGACTTGAAAAGCTGACCTGATGGTAAATTAACCCACATTAGGCCCCTCAGGCTTTCTTTCCCAGCCAGCTGCCTTGATCCACACACTTTATGAAGCAACTTCACACACTGTGAGGCCTTCTGGGTCTGGAAAAGTGGGTTTACAATTTGGTAAGACCATGTGCAGAAAGTTAGCAAACACCTGTTCTCTAAGTTACTGTAAAAGCAACATGACCCATACCATGAAATGAAGTAAATTTACGTGGTTAATGTACCTTTACCTACATATCTAAATTCAAATGGCATACCAATCCAGCCAATTCACCAGTAACATATACCTCCATCCATTATTCTACTTCTATTAGTGAGAAGTCATGGCTTTTAGCTCCAACATGATCAATGCACAACCATCGTGAGCAACCAAAATATGCAGAAGGTATCTTGCAATCACTATTAGGCACTTGCATACTCTTAGTTTTACTCAGTCCTCTTTGAATCACAGATCCAACTAGTTTAGTTATCCAGACACAGCCAGGACCTTTCATCCTCTGTTCATTCTTGCCTGTGAATTTTAACGATCTTTTAATACTCAAAGGTCATGGATATTTTGAGGCTCCACCCAATTCCAAGAATCTAGGATATAGGTTTAAGTTATGGGGAAAGGGGTTCTACCTCAAACTCAGTAACAAACAATTATCATAGTTGCTGGATTCCCCGGATACGGTAGGATTCCTAGTCGAGGGATATCCCTGCAATCAGCTAGGCAGCATAAGAACCCAGTTACCGGACACTAACGTGACAAACCAGCCCAGAGTCTACGCAACCTTTTCATAGTTAAACCGAAACTCATAGATTTTACATGTCAGGTCAGATTCTTCCGCCGTACATGTGTTTTCTGGCCTTCGTTACAAGTCGTATAATAACAGTAACCTMTCACTTGTTGGAATCCTTTCCACGGAGAAAAAAACCAACATTCTATAAAGTAAAGCCAGAAAGACTTAAAACTAACTGTCCGACTTAGTTTGGTGGCAACATCCATTGATGCGCAAACCAACCCAATCAATTTGCAGAGAGCTGAACGCTAAACCCCAGCGAAACCCAGGGGCGCTTGCCCCACGCGCGAAGGCCCTTCCGCCAGCTCCCGCCAGGCTCCAGCGAGGAACGCGACCACAGCGCATTGACAGGCTCCAACCGACGCCCGAGCTGGCACACGCGGGCCCTACGTGAGGCACCAAGTCCCGCCCCGCAGCGCCGCCGGCCGAGGCAGCGTGACCGCGGGGCAGGGTCCGGGACGCCGGGAGGGAGGAAGCCGGCCCGGTTCCGCGCGCCGCCCCCTCCCGGAAGGCCGCGAGAGGGAAGACGGGGCGGGGCGCAGCGCCCCCCCGAGGACAGCGCCGGAACGGCACCGCGCTGCCCGGCGAGGCCCGCGAGGCCCGCGACGCGACCCGCCAACGCCCGCAGCGGCCCGTACGCCTGCCGCCGAGCGCCGGACGGTGCCCACCACCGGCCGGCGCGCGTCCGTTGGCACGGCGGGCGGCGCGCCGTCCCCTCCCCCGCCGCCTGCCCGGCCGCCGCGCCAGCCCTCGCGCAAACTACGCCATTGCGGCCTAGCCGGGCGGCGCCGCCCCTCCCCCGCGCCGCCATCTTCGCGGCCCACCGCCCCCGCCGCCGCCATCTTTTGGGGCCGCCATACTTGCCCGGGCGGAGAAGATGGCGGCGCCCATCACACACATAAAACATGGCTTCCCTTCAAAACAAAAACATCCCGGGCTWCGGCGCGCGGCCGGCGCTCACCTGAGGACCACATGGTGACCGAGAACTCGCCCTCCAGGGTCTTGATCTGCACCTGCTTCTGCTCCCACTTCTTGTTGCCCGGGTCGGCGCCGCCGCCGCCCGCCGCGCCGGCCCCGCCGCCCAGGTAACTCTTCTTGCCGCTCTTCTTGCCGCCGCCCTTCTTGACGCGGCCGCCGCCCGACGACGACGAGCCGCCGCCGCCGCTCTTGCCGGCCGCCGCCACGGTGACCAGCGTCTGCTCGATGTAGTCGTCGTCGCCGCCGGCCGGCGCGGGCACCGGGATGAGGATCTGGTCCTCGAAGCCGTCCTCGGCGCGCAGCCCGTCCGAGTCGTCGCCGCCCACCACCTCCTCGCGCGTCTGCACCAGGATCACCTCCTGGTGGTGGTGCACCTGGGTCGGGTCGTCGGTGACCAGCGGCTGCAGCGCGATCATGGGCGGGTGGTGGTGGTGATGGTGGTGGTGGTGGCCGGCGTGCCCGTGGCCGCCCCCGCCGCCGTGGTCACCGCCGCCGCCGTCCTCGTCGTCGTCGTCGTCCTCCTCCTCCTCGCCCACCACCGTGGTCTCGATCGTCTCCACCGGGATGGTCTCCACCTCGATCTCGTGCAGCTCCACGATCTCGGCCGGCATCTCTGAGCCGTCCGTGGCGCTGTAGAGGGTGTCGCCCGAGGCCATGGCTGAGGGCGCCGCCGCCGCCGCGGCGGCCTCGGCTCCTGRGCTGCGGGCGGGCGGGCGAGGAGGCGGCCGGCCGTGGGGAAGGAAGGCAGAGGGAGGAAGGCGGCGGGCGAGCGGGCGGGGGGAGAGGGGGCGGGCGGCGGGGGAAGGGGCGGGCGCGGCGGCCGCGGCGGCGGGGCTTCCCCGCCTCCCTCGCTCGGTGCGCCCCGCGCTCCCTCGGCCGCTGCTCGTCCCGCTCCCCGCCTCGCCGCGCCGCGCCTCGGCCGCCCGCCCTGGCCGCACCTCCTCCCGCCCTCCGGGCCGGCGCTCCGCTTCCCCCTTCCTCCTGCGCCTCCGCCTCCTTCCACACAAATACCAACTCCTCAACCCGAGCCCAGATCTCGCCGCCGCCGCCGCCGCCACACTCCGCTCGGGCTGGGCCTCGCGAGACTTACGCGCTGGCCCGGCCCGCCCCGCCTCGCTCTCACTCGCTCCCTAGCGCTCTCGCTCCTCCTCCTCTGCCAATCGGGCAGCCCCGCTCGCGCAGCGGCCCCGCCCCTCCACCCGGGCTCCTCCCGGATTGGGGCCGCTGGGACAGGGGGCGGGGCGGCCCCCACGCGCGCTGGCTGGCCCTAGGCGCGTGACGTCAACGCGGCGCCGCCGCCGCGCCTCCTGCCGCTCGGCGTCGCGCGGCGCCCGCCCTCCGCGGTGCAACGGCGACAAAACCGCCGCCTGGGGCCCGGGCGGGTCGCACTTGAGAGCAAGGCGACGTCGCTGCAGCCGCCGACTCGGGAGCCGGTGAGCGGTCCGCGCGGCCTCGGCGCACGGGCGCTGGAGACTGGGGAGAAGGGAGGGGCGGCCTGCCAGAGGGGGCTTCGGGCCGGGGACGTCCCGGTTACGGTGCGGGAGCCGCCGCCACACGTTGTGTGGACCGGTCGTCCCAATAAAGTGTGCTTTGACTAGAAACGCCTGTGCTTCGTTTTTCGTGTTCAGCGATTGCCCTGGGCCTCTCGCTTCTGGCGAGCGATGGCGGGTGAGTGGAGCGCGGAGCGAACGGAGTCGGGCTGGGAGGACAATGTCCCCAGCACAGTCCTCACCTCGCCGCGGGAGTCCTGGTTCCGCGCGCAGCGGGGTCCCGGGCGGCCGCTGGTGGGCGGGGCGGGCTGGCGGAAGCGGCGCGCGGGGCTGGGGTCCACCGTTGGCCGACTGTCCGTTATTCTTTTGTGACCCGCGGAAACCTGAGACGGAGCCGTTGAGTGCCTGTCTCCCCGTGGACCTTAGAACTACAGCGTCCTGACCGCTCTGGTCCTGGGGCTTGGCTGTTAATAGCTTCCTAACATTTTCTTCCGAGCTTTGCTWTCCTAGCTGTCCAGCAGTCGTCGTTTCCCATACCACAGTCTTCACCTATTTCTCACCTTCTTCAATGCTTCTCGTGTGCTCACCGGGCTTTGCATTTATCTCATTGAATATTTAAATTTTATTTTCAGCGTTATGCTCCATTATAACTTCACCAGAGCCTAGTTTTTCGGTTTTTTTATCTTTTTATTTTGGCGCGGATTACCAGAAAGTTAAACATTCCTAAATGAGATGTATTGCTGCGAACTGTTTTTGTTCTAATTAATACTAGTCGGCCTTACAGTTGGCTTATTAAAGCAATAAAGATTATCCGATTTTTTTGGTGGTGGTGGGGTTGTCACCCCTGGTGACAACCCAGGGGTGCTTAACCACTGAGCAACATCCCAGCCCATTTTTAATTTTGATATAGAACCTCTTGCTAAGGCTGACCTTGAACTTGGGATCCTCAAACCTCAGGCTTCCCAGTCGCTGGGATTACTGGCATGCGCCACCATGCCCAGCAGATTATCTGATTTTTAGGAAAAAAAAAAAAATTTCTTGGGAAAGCGTGTCTTTGTGTGCTCTTTTGGCGTATGTAACACCATTGTGCATTGTTAAAGGGGGTCATCCTTTACTCTTTGACTGTTGGAATAATGTTCATCCAGCTGAGGCCCATGGTTGTTCTGAACACGTGTACACACGTTAGATCCCACTTGTTAAAACAAGCAGGAATCCTATTATTGGGAATGTACCAGAGACATGCTAATGCATTCAATTAAAATGCAATTTTACAGATTTTTGTCTTATTTCTAAATGGTACTGGACTTGTGTTTGGGAAATATTAATGTAAGAAGAATTATATCTTCTTTGAGTTTTACTTTTGTTTTTATTTGTATTACTGGGGATTGAACCCAGGATCTCATATATGCTCAACAACCAGTCTACCACTGAGCTGTATCTTCAGCCCCCCTGAATCTTGGGTTTTAAAACCTGAGTAATTAATTCCCTTTGGAGTGCTGCACCCACACAGTTTGGCAAATCAAATCTGTTGCRTTCAGTCATTTGTGGCTTCATAGCTTATAAACTCTGCATAAATATTTCATAAATGAAAACCAGTTGGAGGATTCTTATGTGGCTTAATGCTTTTTAATTTCACTTTCCCTGCTCTGTAGTAGTTGATTGGGAAGTGTCTTTGCAAGTAGTTGATATTTCTCTATAGATATCCCAAAAGAACAAGAGAAACTGGAAGTGCCCATTAGGCAACCCGGCTTCTGCGTCAGATCTGTGGATGTTCACAGTCAAGTGGAGAAAGCCAAAGGAGGTAAAATGGCCAGGCAGGGTGATAGGTAAGAGCAGTATGATGCTCCTGAGCTGCCCTAGCACTTGCTCCAGGAATAGCTTTTGAAGCTTGCTCCAGCACAGCTAACCTGTTCAGCAGGCTTGAAGTTTTCTGTGGTGGGAGATATTGAGCTTCCAATTCAGCTAGGAAGAATCCATCATTAGACATGCAAAAGATACTGCATTGTTGGCTGTAAGTTAAACTGCAACATCAACCATGAGACTCTAAAGATGGGGATAATTTCACCACTTTTATTCTGTTTTTCTCTCTGGGCAGAATGCACTGGGCCAATGAGTACTTCCTCTGGAGTCCTTGGGTTTGGCCATGAGACAATAATTATTGACATTAAAACTAACTGGCATTTCTCTTACACCAGCATTTACCCACTATTTTCCTTCCTCCTATCTGGGCAGAGGCAAAGGTTGGTTTTTCCACGGCTCAAGCCTTTGGAGTTGTTACTTGCTTTTAATTCATTCAGCAAAACAAGATTGAAAGCACCATGGCAGAGGGGAGCTCAAAGTGATTGTGTTTGACCATTTCTTATTAAGAGTTTCCAAAGCTCCAATTTTCTATTGCTATTGGGAAAGTGAGCATCAGTGACAGTAGAAGAGAGGAGAATGTAGGAAACTTCATAACAGTTATGAGAAACTTACTAGGGTCACCAAGAAATCAGAGCTTGCAAATAAATGACTGAGATGGGAAGACAAAAAAAAAAAAAAAAGTGTCTTTTGGCTCCCTGACCAGGACAGAAGCAGGAGGAAGATGAGAACTATTTCAAAGTTGCTATAAGTAATATATTTGTTACTGAATTTTAAGTTTTTAGGTGTTGCTTAAATGAGATGATGGGACGTAATAGGTTCAATATTTAAACTTGGTTAAGAGCCTGAAGTTTAGGAAGGTGTGAGTGGAGAAGAGTGGAGGGTGGGAGTGGGCAAAGGAATAAAGGTGTTCATCAAAAGATGCCTAATAGCTCTCACTCCTTGCTTTGTTCAGAGTTAAGTTTTGTTTCTCATTTTTAATTTTTAATTTTTGGGATACTAGAGATTGAACTTAGGGCCACTGAGCCACATCCCCAGCCCTATTTTGTGTTTTATTAGGAGACAGGGTCTCACTGAGTTGCTTAGCGCCTAACCATTGCTGAGGCTGGCTTTGAACTCATGATCCTCCTGCCTCAGCCTCCCAAGCCACTGGGATTACAGGCATGCACCACCTCGCCCGGCCTCGTTTATTGTTTTTTGAGATGCTGGGAATTAAACCCAGGGCATCCCATATGCTAGGCAAATGCCGTACCACCGAGCTATATCCCAAGCCTGTCTCCTTAGTGATTATAGGCAAACAGACAATTAAATCTAATTTGACGGCACTTCTATTTCTGACAGTTTGAGATTAGTTCAAGCAATGAATTCATGGTAAATAATTTTCCCTTAGAGTAATTTGGCTGCCTCATGAAATTATGATTCTTTTTTGTTGTTGTTTTGTTTTCAGTGCTAGGAATTGAACAACCCAGGAATGCTCTACCAGTGAGCTACATCCCCAGCCCTTTTTATTTTTTATTTTGAGGCGGATCTTGCTAAGTTGCCCATGATGGCCTCAAACTTGTGATCCTCCTGCCTCAGCCTCCCTAATAGCTGGGATTATAGGCATGTGCCACCGTGCCCAGCTATGAAGTTGCTTTCAGATTAGTTCTGATATCCAGTTCTTTTATGGTAACTTCAAATAGAAAGTCGGTGCTTTGCATCAGGTGTAGGACTGAAACTGTTGGAACTAGGCAGGGTGTCATCTTATCCTATCCATTTTGTAGACAAGGAGACCAACTGAGGGCAGATATGCACACCAGTCACTTGGCAAGGTGGGAAGGCAGCACTGGGGCTGATGAGAGCTCAACTCTTCTACCTTTTCTGGTTTCAAAGACAGTTTGGGTGGTAGAACCCTGTTCCAATTCAGATCTGTGAAAAATCAAGAGGAAAATTCCTGTTTGCTTCTAAATTGGTTCCTCCTGGTTTTGATTCTTAAAAGTTAAATGAGAAACCATAGGTGTATTGTATTAATTGTCTAAACCATAGGTGATTTGGGGGGAAGGGTTATAGAGTTTTTGAAACCTGAGCTTCTAAAATCAGTGGAATTTTAGATTATGGTGAATGAACCTAACTGTATATGTGAACAGGTGAGGTYCCATATTGTTTAAAAACTAACGTTGTTTATACAACATCATATGTGTTTTTATAAGGCCTTGATCAAATTCTTTTTTTTTTAGTTTATTTTTTTGTTGTAGTTGGACACAATACCTTTATTTTACATACTTATTTTTTCATGTGGTGCTGAGGATGGAACTCTGGGCCTTGAACATGCTAGGTAAGTGCTCTACCACTGAGGATCAAATTCTTAATCTTAGGCTAAGTGGTTTATTGTGATGATTGAATCTGATTATTGCCCATAAATATAAGATAAGTTGAAATCCATGGTAAAAAGTTAGTCACCATTTTTCTCTACTTGTTAGCCTGTTGCCCCTCCAAAAAATCTAAATTGGCCTGTTTATACCTGCTCATGCTGTGAACATGGAATGTGCAGTTGAACAGAATGAATAGAAAATTCTTTAATTTGTGGTAGCTTTCCTAAACAGTTTTACTACATAGTTACTGCAGTGTAGAATTAGAAGGTGACTTTTTCCGCATATTGTATGCGAGCCCCTGTTAGTAGACGTGTCCTCTCTGAGAGTGAGCAGTAACATCCCCCATAGAGCTTCCTATGTGTTAAATAGGAGTGACTCCTCAGGATTAATTAGCTGAGTGGAGTACCCGCTGTGCAAGGCCCA